TGCCAAGCCGCAAAGCTAACCACTGACACTGAGGTGGATAGTGGTATATATGTTGTAGTTCAATTTTATCCTTGGTTCAAATTTTATTTTCCTTTGTTCTCAGTCATGTTAATGTATGATAATGAGTTTGAAACAAAGGAAAATAAAATTTGAACCAAGGATAAAATTGAACTACAACATATATACCACTATCCACCTCAGTGTCAGTGGTTAGCTTTGCGGCTTGGCAAATATCCACCACTAACCACCTCCACTTTGGTGAATAGCTGTTAAATATTCTCATTACTTGTCTGCTTAATATTGTATTGACAATGTTAGGAGAAAGTATTTTTTGGTCATGCACTGCCGGGAGTAAAAGGGTTAATTAACAGAAGGTTGTGAGAAGTCTTTCAGTTGGTAGTAGACCACCATTAAGCTGCATTTATTGAAACCCCAGTGTTCACCTTGTTGTGAAATTCTACTTATCGAAGCCAAGAAAGTATTACTTAACGCCATATTAACCATTGTAAGTGAAAAAATCCAACTAACTTCTACTTTCAACACACTACTGCGAAAACTTCAAAACTAGTTTCGTCTACGACCCTGTCAGTTGATAACAAACAAAAATCTAAAAATTTTTCAAATTTTTAAATTTTTGTATGTTATCAACTGACGAGGTCATAGACGAAACTTGAGTTTTGAAGGTTTCGCAGTAGTGTGTTAAAAGTAGAAGTTAGAGTTTTTCACTTACATGGTTAATATGGCGCCAGTGTTCACCATTCTTTGTGTTTGACTGATTGAATATAATTTTGCCTCCAGATATATGTGGCAACAAACCTTGTGGAGTTTCTCTGACAATGTATCAAAGTGTTTGCGCAAGTTGGCCATAGTGGCTTGCATCTCTACATGACTCTGCTCAGTTGGATGTTGGAAGAATTCCTGTAAACAGACAGAAAATAAGGTCAGTGAAACGACACTCAGGAAAACAAATTGATGATGGATGGAGGTATTGTCCAAGACAATCTGGCTAAAACCAACTCAGTGTTTGAACTTCAGATCTGAACTTGATCTGGACTTCTTGATATTTCAAAACTACCTCAAAAAGCACAGTTTCGTACAATGATTTTTAAGTCATCATCAACTCACAGATGGTTTGCTTGGGTCCCTTGACATGCTGGTCAATGCCAAAAAGAATCCTAACAAAGTTTGCTTTTCAAAGGTGTGGCCTTGAATAGCACCTACTGGCAACTTGGCAGGAAGCCAGACTCTTGATGACACCAGGATCTAAAAAGATAAAATCAAACAGAAAAAAAAAAACTGCATTGTTATATACAACTTGTCATTTTAGAATGATGATGTTGAATTCACCTTTTACAAGTTATAGCAAATTAAGACAATTTCTTTAAAGTCATATTTTTATCCATTGCATTCTCTGCAGCTTGTGGGTAGTAAGAGCAATTTACGCCAAAACCAAAAAGTCTGAGATCCAAATACTCATGGGTAGCTAGGAGCCAGTTCTCATTGGCAGCTAGGAGCCAGTTCTCATTGGCCCATGCACATGACAAATGCTTATTTCATAGCATCTTTCTTAAGTTCTTAGATTATCTTTGCTTACCCCAATGCTTCATATTGAGCAATTTCAAATTGTACCCTAACTGAGGGAAAGACTTGGTCCTCCCAGATGAATTGCAAGTAAGCAGTTGTAGAAAAGATGTCTGTTGTCAAAATTTTCAGGCTTTGACAAGAATCAAACCTGTGCCTTTCAGTTACTAGTTGGGTCTTACTACTGACTGAGCTACAGAGTCGCACCCTAGGATCAAGGGAAATTCTAGAGGGTTCATTGTTTTCTAGATTCTTCTCTGCAAGTGCTTAATTTGCAGTCCACCCATGGGAATCATTTCTTTGTTTGACTTTCATCTGCAGATCAAATGAAATTTATTTCTAATCATTAATAAAAAACAAATTGCTGCCAGAGCTGTAATTTCTAATCAGCATCATGATGAAAACAAGTGCATAATCACCTCAGCTAGAGGAACATGCTTTGCAAAGAATAGCAGTAACTCAAAGTAGTTATGGAGGTCAGGCTGAAGAAGTGAGGAGATATCTTTGCACCTATCAGCCAACATCTCAAGAACTGGGGAAAACATACTCGTCTAAAAGTAAATGAATATCATGAGGTGAGACAAAAAAGAAATCACAAATTCACAACTTGATAGCAACATCAAAAAAAGTTGTTTGCAAAGAACTTCATGTTCTTATAATATAGCTTCCATCATCACTTGACCCTTTACACCCTAACATCAGTTTGCATATTCTCCATACTGTTCTCCATACATTTCCTACTGTGCTGACCAGGAGAATTTAAGAATCAAGAGCTTCAATCTACATGTAGTTGTTGATCATTTCCTTAATTCTCATAACCTTAATATATGATTCAGGGGCAATACTATAAAGAGAAATTAGATGCTAGTCACTCTTAGAGGTTAACCTTTGAACTCCCAAGATCTGATTGTTAATTCTCCCCTCTAACTGCTACACATTTCCTTGTAAATTAGTTACAAGAATTTGGCATTAGATCAGGATTACAACTTCTACATGTACCTAGTATTAAAGTCTGGGTATTCTCATTACCTGTTTACTAGATAATGTATGGATAACATTGGCTACCATGTGGCTACCATTGGCTACCAAGTGGCTACCATTGGCTACCATTTGGCTACCATTGGCTACCATGTGGCTAGCCATGTAGCCGTAAAGTTTACACTCACCCCCACCTTAAAGGAGTCAGAGAAAGATTAACCCTTTAACTCCCAAGATCGGATTGTTAATTCTCCCCTCTAGCTGCTAAACATTCCCTTGTAAATTAGCTATGTGAATTTGGTGTTAGATCAAGATAACAACTTCCACCTGATACATTTGAGTATTCTCTTTACCTGTTTGCTAGATAGTGTATGGATATTGCAGGGAGAAGTTACGTGTGAATCACTTGCGGGATCTGAATTAAAGGGTTTAATTAGTTCTTATTAACCGAGCGGGAGGTCTGTATGGGAGAATCTTGACCGAGGTCGCCAGTACAGACCGAATGCAGTGAGGTCTGTACCAGCAACCGAGGTCAAGATTCTCCCATACAGATTGACCTAGCTCGGTTAATAAAGATGTTTATTTTTTATGGCTGTGTATATGTCTTATATGCCAATTTTTTTATATTCTTTGTACCTTTTATTTCTAGACCGATCTAGATGCCGGTCTAAATGGGAAAATCTAGACCGCTTTCAATATTGATTTCAGCCAATCAAATTCGTGAATTTGGTAGTTCCCAGTCCTTGTGTGACACAGCCATATAATAAATTGGTATACAAGGAAACTTTCTTTGATATCACAAAGTTGAGGATTCTGAATGAAAGATTAATTTTGCAGTCTTAACAAGGAAGGTCACATATTTATAACCTTTAACTTACCAGATCATCTTTTTCTTGATGCTCCTGAACAAGGCCATCTATGAACTCTGATATTACTTGATCTTCTATAAAAAAATAGATTGGCATAATTCATGTCCTTGCTACTATTAGGGATAAATATTTATATTAAAAAAACCTCTTCAACAAAACATTTTGAACAATAGGAAAATCAGTATTTATAGATAAATTAGACCAATCATTATTATTAATAAACATAAAATTTAATCTTTAAATTTATCTAGTAAATAAATTGATTTTTAATTCTTGACAATTCCTGTCATAAATATAAATGCAAAACTTTTATACCTTGCATAGTTAACATTAGTTGAAACAAGTGCTTCTGAGGAACAGCTTTAGAGAACATCTCTGGGCTTAACAAACAAGTCCTTGAATGAATAACACAAAAAAAAAATTTTAACCACCTTTCCTGTATGGTGTATTACATAACATTAACTACGTATGATGCACGATCCTCGCAGTATGGGCAAAGAGTGGGTGGGCAAAGAGATCCTATCTCATAACATTAACTGTCTAACACCTAGAAATTATCGAGTTGAACAAGTAACTTATTCATCAATCAGAGGGTTGTATCATGTGGTACCAAATTCTTCTATCTTGATTAGGAGGAAATGGATGGCATTCAGAAGGGACAATTACTAGTTGGATGTTTGAAGTTAAAGGCTTATTCGGTTCGGCTATACACTCACTTTGGACAAATGTAGAGTGTTTGCTATACTTACAGGACAGGATATCCAATATGCTTAATTCATTAATTAAAATAACTTTTATTACTCAATATTATAATAATTATTATAAATAAATTAATCCTTTCACTCCCATAAGTGATCAAGACAGAATTTCTCCTTACAATATCAACAATATCAAGCAGACAAGTGATGGAAATAAGGAAAAAATCAGCAGACATTGTCAAGTAATGAGAATAAGGAAAAATACCAATAAGAGGATTTTTAGTTGATCCAATACCAAATTTTCCAAACTGACATTACAAGAACTCAGGGGTTTCATTAATGTTTTCTGCAGGAGTGCAACTGGTTTTCACAGGCGGGCAAAACTCTTTGAATTGAACTTCTTTGTAAGATAAACTTTCTTCCAGATGGTCAAATCAGGTGGGCAAAGCCGTCCTCACAACCGGTCAATTTGCCCGGCGCCTGGCCCTTAATGAAACCCTTGAGAACTGTATGGCAGACAGTAAGGAAAATTACTAATGAGATCTTGGGAGTGAAAGGAACTTAATACAGTTAATTTTGCAAATGAAATACCTACCCTGCGTAAGACAATGCCAGTGTTTTTGCTCTGTCTGCAATTTCCACAAGATCCTTCTCCTTCAAATGAAATATTCAAAAAGGGTTTTACTTCACAAAATGCCAATACTTAGATGAGGACGTTTTTGTGAATTCCTTTTTCCTCCTTTTCATTTTTTATGATGCAAATTTAAAGTGTTAAATCTTTCTTGTTTCTTTCAACTGAGCAGGTGACTAAAGTTTGAAAAGAGGGAATTGATTGATTGTTCGAGAATAAAAAGGGAGAAAGAGAGAGGGAGAAAAAAAATAATTCTGAATGGGGTTTGAAACTTGTATTAAATATCACATGGCTGTACCTTTTCTAAAGCACTGAAACAAAAGCAGTAGATGCCTTCAACACTTTTCATGCATTGTTGAGAAATCAGATATGAAGCCTGGATGTCAAATGAAAAATTTACCTTCCATTTCTTGCATTCCTCAGTGGCTCTCTTGTAACAAGAGGCCAAGTATTTTACATTTGAAACTTCTCCTGCTTCAACCTCAGCAGTAAGTGACGTTATACGAGCACCACCTGTGATCATGACATGAGTGCGTGGTTGAGTCATGCTCAGACGCTCCATAATGGCCTAAGGAAAGATAAAAAGTATTAATTAATAATATTATTAAGATTAATATTTATAATGCAAAGTCATGTAACATTGCCAAGCTATAAAACAGGACCAATTATGGCAAGCACTTCTTTTCATAACAACTAAATTTATTCAATTCATGTTACAGTTTATTTCAAAGGAGCCTTGTCAGATCTTATTTTTAAACTATCTTGATAGCATACTGTTGTTCATTTTAAAAAATTCATCAAAAACTAATTAAAATATATATATACAAAAAAAAAACATGTTGACTCAGATTTCAGCTGTTCCACCATATGTGGAACATATGGTTCTTGGATAGGGACTGATAAATGGAGGTCCCGTCTCCTGCAGGGTTGGGGTAGAACGCGTTAATTTCCCACGCACGAGATTACTGTGTGATGGATGTCCTCCCCTGGGTGGGATGGGTGGGTTTACAGAGGGCCATGTGTTAGAAAACTCTTTACTGGGTTAATCATGTATTTACCCTCTTGAAATAATGAACATTGTATTGTATTGTGCTTTACACCCTTAATATATCACAATCAGTATGCACACATCCATACTGTTCTCTATACATTTCCCTGGGAAAATTTGTTTAACAATCAAGAGCTTCTTTAGTTGGTGATCATTTCCTTTATTGTTGTGACCTTCACTTTTGATCCAGGAGTGTTATTGAAAGGAGAAATTAGAAAGAAAGAAAGAAAGAAATTATAGAAATTAGAATTAGAAAGAAGTCAGTCACTGTTCAGATGTAAAATCCCCTTTTAGCTTTTCAGCATTTTTTTAACACCATATTAACCATGTAAGTGAAAAACTCCGACTAACTTCTACTTTCAACACACTACTGCAAAAACTTCAAGTTGAAACTTGAAGTTTTCAAAAGTTAACTTGAATTTTACTGCAAAAACTTGAAGTTTTCGCCGTAGTGTGTTGAAAGTAGAAGTTAGGTAGTTGGAGTTTTTCACTTACATGGTTAACATGGCATTAGGTAATACTTTCTTAGCTTCGATAAGTAGAATTTCACAGCATTTTTTTTAATACATGTAAATTACTTGTACCAAACATGGACAAAACATAAATAAAGAACTAGTCTAAGAAGTGAGAATTAATTGGCTTACTTCATCAATTTTGGTCCACTGAAGGGTTGAGCCCTCCTCAGTGCTGGCAGTATTACGTAAATAGACACATCTTTTTGGAAGCCCTCCATGTTGTTTCTTTCCTTGACGATCCCTATCTAAATACCAGTTGAGAATTTAAAAAGATTATGACGTTAAGAGACTTGAATTATAAATACCAGAAAAATACGGCGTAACCACTTCCTTGTCAACTTAGTAAATCATTAGATAGCCTGGTCAGCCCTGCTTATGTAATTCCATGAAAATGGGAACCCTGTTTCATTTTGCAAGAACATGATTTCTGCTGGTGGACTTCAATTCAAAAGCAAACAGAGATGACAAAATGAGCCACCTTATTATAATATTGTAGAATCTCTCTGACAGTTGCCAACCAGCTACCCCTCCTAAGGAGGCGCTGTGGTCTCATGGTTACTACGCTCAACTCTAGATCGAGTGGTCCGGGTTCGAGCCCTGGCCAGGGACACTGTGTTGTGTTCTTAGACAAGACAATTTACTCTCACAGTGCCACTCTTCACCCAGGAGAATTAAATGGGTACAGTGAATTTAATGCTGGGGGTAACCCTGCGATGGACTAGCATCCCATCCAGGAAGGGGGGTAGAATTACTCCTAGCCGCTTCATGCTATGGAAACCACAGTTAAGTGCCAGCCTGATGGGCCACATGCCTCATAAGTAGGCTTTACCTTTTTACCTTTACCACCCCTCCAATCCAACTGTGTCCTGTTAAGTGTTTCATCACATAAAGTAAATGTGAGTTTGATCAAGCCAGATGGAAAAATATTTGTCTTGAGGTCAAGATGGACGGATCTCAATATACTCAATCTGTATGTCATAATCT